GTCAACCTGCATCTCAGACCATCTTGGGCATAACATTTAATCGGAACATAGACGGCATGAAATCACTTATGTCAGAAAAGTGGGACGTAAGTCTGCTTCACTCTGGATAACTTTACACACATTCCCCGGCTCCTTCCATCACCCAGGACAGTAGCAGTTTTGAGTGTTCGCGATAGGGAACAGTCGTGTGCGTTAAAATGGGCGTGTCAATGGCACGATTGTAGGAGGCTACATGCTCGCTCAGTTTCAGTCTGAAACTTCGGTGTGAATTCCTTTTAGACCTGTCAAAGGGTTGTCAAAAGTAGATAACGTAAGAGGGTTATAAACAAAGACGACAGAGCCTGAACTACACAGTCTTGACTTATTTCCTATCATCGTCCTGTTTACGCCAACCTGAGATTTAAATCTGGATCTACTTTGGCGACTCTCTTAGGATCAAAAATTATAACCTTAGAGTCGGAGGTTCAGGTTTTATTAGCCGATTTACAAACTAGTTAACTTTATAGGAATATGCGACCTCATCCGTCAGGTTGCAGAAGTAAAATGCGTGCGCATTTTGACTATTTGTGATCGCAACTATTGTACTTTGTTGAGTTGATTTTCTTCCTCCATGCATGATGTAGATCCTCACTGAACTAAATGGCATACCATACCAACCATACAAAACCGGTGGTTTTCCGAATTCTGGCCCTGAGAACCGCAATCTCACTCCCCAGTCGAGAAACCGAATTTCCAGGGCCAGCTTTGTTGCCATCATAATATTCTGCACCATCGCCGTGATCGCTGCCTTCCTACTCTTCCTGCAATACATGGTACGATCGGGCCGTTGTTTTAACCGCAAGGGCTCAGGCGAATCGATTCTCACTAAGGCACAGTATGGTGAAGAGGACTCAGAGAAAATGATGCCCAATCTCTCCTCAGAGTCACCTGGATCACCACCGCCCTATCACGACAGTTATGTGAGTGAGAAGCCTCAAGAGACAAAAACAGTCAAGGCAAGTTACCTACCTTTTTGGTTCATGGTCAGTTATTTTATTTTAAACTTTTCCGTGTTTGCGCGGTCTTTGGAACCCCATAGCAGTCACCCTGAAAGTGTCTATTTTAATTGCAGCGTTTACTTACTGTTCGATTAAGTAGACAAAATATGTTTAGAGGGAGATAACAGCCATGACATCAGCTGACAGTTGTGTGGTTCCCCATTCACCGTTGCTATATAGACCCGGAACCCCAGATTTACATGGCCAGAATAGTGCCAGGCTTACTTAATCTCGAACTTGCAACTTGGAATGGTCAATCTAGTCATTCTTTTGCTATTGATTGACGTACCTCAGAACAGCGCGTTGCGTCCAGGAGGAAATTCGATTAACTGGT